AACAATTCCCTCGCTGGATGCCTGCCAGAGCCTCCTCAGTGGTCTCTCTCCACTCCTGTCCTTGCACTGCCACAACCCATTTTCCCCAAAGCAGATTTCTCAAAATAAAAATTAAATCACCTCACTCTCCTGTCCAACACTCCTCAATGGCTTCCCATCGCACTAGGAATAAAACGGAAGCTCCTTATGGAGCTCTGGTTGTGCTCATCTCACACTGATGCTCCGCCACCCTCTCTCCTTTCAGCACACCGAGCTCCGCTCTGCCTTAGCACCTGCTGGAGGCTCCATGCACAATGCCCTTCCTCTCTTCCTCTATACAGTGTGAATCTTCTTGCCTGCGGGGCTCGGCTTTAAGGCTACCTCCCAGAAGCCTTTCCTGACCCTCTTTAAAGTGGGTATTCCCTGTTTTTTTCTATCTCAGTCACTGTTTTCTTTCCTCCACTGCAGTTACTGCAATGTGCAATTATTTTTATTTGCTCCCCCCCCGCCCCCCCGCCAGCCCCTGCCCCACCTTCTAGAACGGACGGTCAATGGAGGCAGCTATCTTGTTCTCCAACAAATAGAACCTGGCATAACAGGCATTCAATAATTGAGAAATGTAAATGAAGCTACTTTTATTTTACATATATTATCTTATTAACTCTTTGCCATAACCAGGTGAAGCATTTATTATCCCCATTTTAAAGATAAAGCAACTAAGAGCCAGAAATATTAAGAGATCTATAGCTTTCAAGTGCAGAAACAGGATTCAAATGCAGGTCAGCACTGAGATGCCTATGGTACTTCAGACGCCACACTGCCTCCTACCCATCTCAGCTTCCAACACCTCGACCCGACCCTCTGCCTACACCCAGTTTCTTACCCCTTCTGCCCCTAAGATGTCATGTGTTTCCCATTATATAGGCTTCCCAGTACTCATAAGTTGTAGATAATAAAAGCAGTGGCAATTTTGCCTCCCCAGGGACATCTGCCACTATTTGGAGACATTTTGTTTGTCACAACTGGGGAGGTGCTACTGGAAGCTAATAGGTAGAGGCCAGGGATGCTGCTAAACATCCCACAATGCACAGTACACTACCCCCAAAGACTTATTTGACCCAAAATGTCATAGTGCTGAGACTGAGAAGCCTTGCCAATAAAGAACCAGCTTAGAGCAGGGGTGCAGTTGCCACTGACCACAGGAACCAGGCAGGTAATGTAAATGAGTCATATAGGACAGATGTAAGGGAAAAAAAACAGTAGTTTTTATCATCTATCTTTTCCATATTCAGGTTACATTTTTTATTATGTTTTGTAAGCAGCATCTTACACTATAGTTTTTCACCACAGGCATGCCTTGCTCACATGTTTAACATGTATATTCTTCACTTCCACGAAGGCAAGTACCCCTTCCATTTTTCCTTGAAACACAGAGCCCTCTCCAGCTATTCCTGTCTTCCCTCTTTTGATAAGGAACGTGGGCATAAGAAACATGTCACTCTTCTCTCAGCTGTAATTAAAATACAGCCGTATCCGATGATAAATGGCAACTCACAGCCCCAGTTTTGGGAAAACAATAGAGACTAGGAGAAAATCTGGCAAACTGAACTGTGTCCCCATTTAAAAGAGGGGAAGAGGTAAATTATAATACCGGGGGATTGCTGCCATGCAGGAACGTCAGCTCAGTGATGCCAGTCTGCTTCTGCGGAGAGGTACGACATCAGACTTTGAAACCACTGATGCTTCCCTCCACCTCACCCCACTCCCGGATTCTGATTCAACTGCTCTGATGTATGGCTTGGCTATGGGAATTGTTTAAGCTCCCAGGTGACTCTAGTATACAGCCAAGACTGAGAACCAGCAGTCTAGTCCAGGTCTCCCACTTTCACACGTGTACAAACGGAGGCTTAGAGAAGCTAAGTGCTCTGCTCGGGCACCCAACTGGTTTGAAACAGGTATAGAAGTAGAAACAGTTCTTCTAAGGCAGTGTTTTCAAATTGCGGGTCATAACACTAGATCATGAAATCAATGTCATGATTTAGAAACAGCATTTTTTTAAAAGGACAGAATAGTAAAATCAGAGTGCATTGTACCTTATAGAGATAAGTGTTATTACACGATTCTTTGTTTTAAATATATGCACATATGTGCTGGTTAATCCCATATGCCTTTTCAAATCATTCTCCTCCCTTCTCTGCTTTGTTACCAGCCCCAGGAGGATGACCCTACAGAATGATTCAGCTGGGCCCCTTGCCTGAGAGTTTCCAGTTGGTCAGCCAGTAAGAGGCACCAGCTGGAGATGAGGATGGGAGGAGTGTGTGGGGTCGCTCTCATTCTCCTGCAGAGCCAGAGATGGCAGCACCTTCTCATTGTTGACAGGCCCTGCGTGCTTCAATGTCCTTTGTGGGTTCCTTAAACATGCTCACACTTTTGAAAACAAGTCCACTTATTAAATCTATTTCCTGCCAGGACACTGACATACATAAATAGATCAACAGACAGACATACATGTGCCTAAATGTACTGGACTGCATTTTCAGAAGTGTGAGCAGATGTAACACAAATCGTATTGCTTACTGTGGGCTGTGGTCAAAAAAGCTGGAGAAACACTGCCTCCCCTGGCTGATACAGGGAGCTACTGGGTTGAAACTTCTAAAAATAAACATTTTAAGAACAATTCTTTATGACTGTTACCATTAAATAATAAATAATGTCCAAAAATAAGAAAAGCATATATGTTTATTAAAATGGATTTTTTAACAGTGCTTAACCCTGCCCAACAGCAGAAAGGGCCACTTTGGTAGATTAGCACATATGGAGGAGATGAGAGAAACTGAACTAGGGACCCTTACTCAGTGTCTTAACTCTTAAAAATTTGTGCTTCTACCAGGGAGCCTCAAGGTGTAGTTTCTTCCTAAACATAAAAGAAGCAATTTTTGTCATAGTAACGTCCCATACTAAAAAACTGTACAGTGTCAGCTCAACTGTCACCCATTCTGGGAATAAGTGGGGAAGAAGACAGGAAATGAGTCAGCTTTCAAAAATGTCTAAACTCTGATCCTCTTTGCAGGCCCAAGCATATGGGGCCAAAGAAAGAACCAAACATCCCAGGTTCAATCATTCTCCAGAATTCTCTCTCAAGCTGCCCCACAGCTTCCTGTAGATGATTAGCGAGGACACAAAGTCTTCTAGACCTTAGTCTGGTCATCGAACATCCATACATCTGATGGCCAGCTACACCCAAGAACATGGGACAGCTCCTTCATTGTACCTCCTTCCAATGCCCAACAAGGTAAGTCAAGTAAAGTAACACAGTCTTATATTAACACAAAACTGTATTTAGCTATGAGCACTACTAAATTCAAATATAAGCCATCCAATATAAGAAGATTCAACGGAAATGCAATTACAAGAAAATACACATGCACAAAAGAAAATGCAATAGATATTATTCTGTGATTGGTTACTATAACCTCCCTGAAGAAGTGATGCCATTCCATATTGCACCACAAAGTGGTGAATGTTGATATTAACCATTCAAGAAGAATGCCACTTCCTTCTGTCACCAGACCTCAAATCAGTATTACGCATGTGCTTTTATAACAACTAAAACTTGTTAAATGCTTTAGATGCAAAGTGCCTTCCCATATATTACCCACGCCTTCTAGTTCTGCTCCTCAGGACATGCCCAGGGAGTAAGTAGGACAGGTGACAATCCCACATCACAGAGAAGGAAAGGTCTGCAAAGGAAATAATTTGAAACTGAAACCCAACTGAACCACTGTGCACTGGAGCTGGAGCCCATCTCATCGCCTGTCCCATGCTGCCTCCCCAAGGTGAACTTCTCCAACCTGTACACCAGCAGCGCTTGTCAAGCTCACCACTGCAAAAAGGAGGAATGTACTGAAAAGACAGAATTACTCTACACTTAAGTCTACCAAATAAAAAAAAAAAACAGTACCCCCATAACAGTATCAACCTTTCGAGCCCACTAAAAAACACACACACACACACACACGCACACACAGTGATGACTCTGGCTTTTTATGATTGAGTGGCTTCTAGTGGTGGCTGTGATCTCAGGGGACGCCGATTTGCTGCGCTCTATTCCTCGGCCTATACTGAACTCCAAATTCTTTTGGGTCACTACGGGAATCTGAAGACATAAGAAGAGATAAATCACCGATAGTTAAATAATTCAGTAACCAAAGCCTATTAACGGCATTATATAGGAAACGCAATGTTATAGAATTTTACTGGCTGACTTAGAAAAATCAGGCCTGTTATCCAAACTGCTATAACTTGCCTTATCAGAATGTCAATCAGAAAACAAAGGAAACCTCAAGTCGGGCCACAGCCTATGAATGTTTCAACTTTATTTTTTTCAGCACATTGTTACACAGCATCCATTCGGTGCATGGCCGCGGGAGAGGAGGGGAGCCCTCCCCATCCCACGTTCCCAGGTCAGCAGAGGGGATTAAGGCTCGGGCGCCCGGAACACCACACAACCTGGAAAGTGATGTGCCGAGGGGAATCACAAAGTGCCACCGGCGGTGTTTGCGGCCAAGAAGAAAAAAGCACGCTAAAATTTAATTGTAAGTTTAGCAACTTTCTAAGACAGGGAAAGTGCTTTGCTTTGAGCTCAACGGAATCGCTTCCAACCCGAAACAAACCATCCTCCCGGGCAGGGGCCGAGATAACGGGCAGGCGGCCGGTCGGCGCCAATCAGCAGCGCCCCAGTGTCGTTAGCGCAGACCTGCCAGCCCGCGGCCAGGCCGGGCAGCTGTTGATCTCGGGGCCATTTTTTTAAAGCAGAGTCAGAGCGCGGGTAGGAAGGGCGCGAGGAAGGCTGAGCCCGGGGAGGGGGAGGGGAGGAGGGAAGGACGTCCCAGAAAAAGTCGGAGAGGGCTGCAAACTGGCGGAGCCCGGCCGGCGGGGCTCGGGGCGCGGGAGGGGAACGGAGGGGGAGGGCCCGCGCCTCAAAGTTCCGCGTCCGGCGGCCGCGCGCCGGGGCTGCTCACCTAGCAGGAGCGTGGTCCAGGTCCGGCCGCGCCCCGCGCGCCGCAGGCCCAGCGCCCCGCGCAGCCCGGCCGCCAGGCGCCCCCCGAGGCCGCCCCAGGCGGGCGGCGCGGCGGACTCGGCGCGGGGCCCCTTCCTGCCCGCGGCGCCCTTGCGCCCGGGGGACGGGGGCGCGCGCTCGGGCCCGGGCTCCCCGGCGCCGGCGTCGGGCGCCCCCCTCAGCGGCGACTGCGAGGCGCGGGGCGGCTGGGGCGGCTTGGGGGCCGCCTCCCGGTGCTTGTTCCGCGCCTGCAGGACCATCTTGGCATAGTCGCGACCGCTCGCTGCGCGCGCCCGGACGGCGGCCGGCGAACGCGGACTGGCGGGGCGGCCCGGGCGCCGCTCACTCTCCGGCGGGCGGGCGGGCTGAGGGCGGGCCGGTCCCTCCCCGCGGGCCGGGAGGCGGAGAGAGCTGCAAGGCCGGGCGGCGGCTGCCTGTCTGGCGGTGCGGCCGGGAGGCGGCGCCGGACTCGCGCGCCCGCCGCCGTTGCCGCCGCTCCGGTTGTCACGGCGACCGCGGAACGCCGGGGGGCGGAGGCGGGGACACCCTGTGAGCGGCGGCGGCCCCGCCCCCGCCGCCCCTCCGCGCCGGACGCGCGCTCCCGGGCACTCAGCGCGCACGCGCGGACTGACGGCGCGGGTGGGGCCGCCCCCACCGCTGCCCCGCGACCCCGGCCCTGCTCCTGGCCAGCACCGGGGTTCGGCGGGGGCGGGAGTGGGGGCCGCCTTCCGGGAGCGGCCGCCCCTCCCTCTGGGAGTGGCTGGGAAGAGAAAGAGGCCCTCTCCCGGCGGGGGCCGCTGGTCCAAGTTTGGGACCCGATTAAGGTTACGCGTGCAGCCCGGTGAAGCCCGCGTGGCCGCGGCGGCGCGGCGCGGGGGCGTGTGCACCGGGAGGAGGCGCTGGGGAACGACCACGGGGGGGCGCTGTGCGCGCGCTCTGGAGCCTCGGTGGCTCCGCCGCTGGAAGGCTGGAAGGCGAGCGGACCAGAGTGAAGCGCCGTCTCACCTTTACTCCACTAAGTGTAACCTCGCAATTTAGAACGTTGCCGTGTGCAGCTCCCTCGTTCACGGATGCGACGGACGGTGCAACTCGACCTGAAATAGCAGCAGAGTGTCTCGCGGTAGCCGGTAAGGGTCGAGGCACAAGTGTGTGCCTGATAGTAAAAGGGTGAACTGAAAACCAGGGTAGTAGCCCAGGCGGAAGGTGATAAAATTGAACGGTCCGAGGAGGAAAGATTATCAGTACGTATGTTCTGTTAATTTCACGTGATGTAGCCTTGCGGCTTAAAAGAAAGCAAGCAGGAAAACTTCATTTGCTGATAAATACGAAACTTTAGTCAAAAGGTATTTTCTTTCACACAGCAGCAGAATGCATGAGTAAAAGAAACCCAGGAAGGTTAGGAAAACCGGACCGCTCCCAGTTATCCTTCCTGTCCTCCACCCCGCGTTCTTTGCACAAAAGCCTACAGCCTCGTGGATGACAACTGAGACGCTCCTTTCTTGCGGCGTCCAGGGGGCTTGTTCCAAAGAGTTGTCCCTAAGTCCCAATTTTGTAAATCAAGCCACACCGCTCTGATAATTGTCTCCATGGTAATTCCAGGGGCTTCCCGTGACTATAGATCCTCAGCTAAGTTTCTCTGCCTGGCGATTTCTTTATTAAGGAAGTTAATGCTGGCATTCGTTCACTGTTACGCCTTTTCAACAGACAATGAACTCTTTTGTAAAGGGAAAATGTTTTTCCGAGCTAACTAATAATCCCTCATACTCTGTATATTTTGTGAGTTTGGATTTTCAGATGTCGTCATTGGAGCAGAGAACACCTATTTTTAGACACTTAAAAAAAAATGATTGAAAGTCCTATCACGGAATGCTTGGATTTTGAAACCATGTGTCAGATGGATCCAGGGTTACCCTCTTGGATTAATTTGGAAGTTATTCCCATTATATACCCAATATATTCCTAATATTTACCCATTAGAATAAAAGAAGCCTAATTCAATGTCTGTTAAAGGTGACACAAATAATTTGTTGACTGATTTTTTTTTAAATGGTTAGAAAAACACAGGGGAAAAGAGGTTCAATATTTGAACTGTTGGATTGCTTGTCTGTGTCCTGCGGTACATGGTGGCATGGGTTCCAGAACCGCCTCCCTTCAACTGGGACCATTTTACCAGAAAAAACACTTGTTGAAGAATAAATGAGAGATTGAGTGAATGAATGCAGGAGATAACAATCAAATGATGATTCAGAATGCTGCCTTCTGTAGTGCCCTGGAGGGTCACTTTGTGCTAACCCTCCTCTCCCGTGGTCTCAAATTTCTAGAGGACAAGAGTGTTCCCTGTTCAACTTTGTGTTGTCCCACAGAGCCTGACCAGAGCCTCAAAGTTTGTTGAATTGAATTGAAAGAGGAACATCTATGATTAAGACACATCCACTGGGTTTGTATCAGTTCTACCAGTGCTGACAAGTCCCCTTCCTTGCTTGGCAACCAAGTGGAGAATCCCACAGAGGGGCAGCATAGGGTACTGGTTAAAAAACATGGTAACTTTAGGGGCTGGCCCCGTGGCCGAGTGGTTAAGTTCACGCACTCCGCTGCAGGCGGTCCAGTGTTTCGTTGGTTTGAACCCTGGGCGCAGACATGGCACTGCTCATCAGGCCACGCTGAGGCGCATCCCACATGCCACAGCTAGAAGGACCCACAACGAAGAATATACAACTATGTACTGGGGGGCTTTGGGGAGAAAAAGGAAAAAGATAAAATCTTTAAAAAAAGAAAAAAAAAACATGGTAACTTTAGGCCTGTATTCCATTCTTTCCTCTGATACATATCAGCCTTGGGATGTTGGCCAAGTTACTAGACGTTTTTGAATTTGGATTTCCTCATCCCTAAAAGGGGAGTGATAAAAAGTTATCTACCTTACAGGTTTGTAAAAATTAAAGAAGACAATGTATGTAAGGTATCTAACAATTACTTGCATCAAAGTAATTGCTCAATAAATATTCAAAGCAGTGGATGACGTGTAAGGAGCATGGCAGTTCCTCTGTCCTCCCAGCGCCTGAGGCTGACAGTTCAGGATGGGTGTGAGGACACAGGGGAGTGGAGCACAGAAGAGCAAGGACAGCTGTGTGATCTCTGGACCAGTCCTGCACTTGCTGGGCTTCAAGCTTCTCGGCTATATGAGCTCCCCCGAAGTTCCCTGCTTCCCACATGTGCTTTACAAGCACGAGCTCCCCCGAAGTTCCCTGCTTCCCACATGTGCTTTACAAGCACGAGCTCCCCCGAAGTTCCGTGCTTCCCACGTGTGCTTTACAAACACTGCCCATTTGGTGGGTCATTAAGCCTGGATAAAATAGTAGGCAACTCCTGTGGCCCCTCTTCCCCCCAAAATAGGAGGATGTTTCACACAGGAAGAGTGTGGAGCAGAAACTAGAACAGTCACAGACAGTTACATACCAGATTTCATTTTGTATTTATAACTGTGAGATCCACAAGAGCAATGAATGCAGTTTATTCATATTTGTATCCTTAGGCCAGTGCCTGCCACATAGTGGTGGATGCTAAAAAAAAAGGACTAACAGCTGCATTTTAAAAATGTGTTGTGCACAGGTGATCCTATGAATCAATTCAAGATGATAATGATATAGATTAAGCATTACAATTACTGTCCACTTTTAATGTGCTTTTCTTTTCAAGAGTTCCAGATGCACTAGCAAAGTACTTCCTTATGTGACACTACGGAAATGCTGAGCCAAAGCAGACAGATTCCAAGGACAGAAACCCAACAAAGCATCCCACTGAAGAATCCCTGGTCTGATCCCCAGGGTGCAAACCCAATCCTCTTCTCACTAAAAGCTACATTTTGGGCATTTGAAATAACTAATAATTAAAAAGTAATTTTAAAAAAATGGGATGGAGAGTGAGGAGGAGATTAAAAGGAGGAAATGAGCATAAAATAAAGAGGAAGAGCATAAAATAATAGAGGAAGACAAGTAAATGCCCAAAAATAAAGCTTCATGATATTAAAGTAGAGGGACCAGGGAAATATTGTTAAGTGGGCAATGAAAAGCAAAATTTGGTCAAGGAAAGACTAAACTGGAAACCAATTTCCTTATTTCTCTATGTTGGCATTTTAAAGGCCTCATTTAAAACTTCCAAATTTCCCCCCTTTTCCTCCCACTTGCTCTCCTGTCCACAGACTGACAACAAAAGGGGAATCTTTTTTTTTTTTAAAGATTGGCACCTGAGCTAACAACTGTTGCCAATCTTCTTTTTTTTTTTTTTTCCTGCTTTTTTCTCTCCAAATCCCCCCAGTACATAGTTGTACATTCTAGTTGTGGGTCCCTCTAGTTGTGGCATATAGGATGCCACCTCAACATGGCCTAAGGAGCCATGCCATGTCCGCGCTCAGGATCCGAACCCTGGGCTGCCGAAGCAGAGCACGCAAACTTAACCACTCGGCAGCGGGGTCAGCCCCCAAAAGGGGAATCTTGACTGTGGCATCTATTTCTCATTTCCTTGGACGAGGTTACTTGATCTCTTTATTGGAGAAGTGTCTTGGGGTCTAGATTCTGGAAGTTGTCTCCCTCAGCAGTTGCTAACATCAAGAGAGGAACCTGCATAATCCCAGCATGCTTCACAGAAAGCTAATGTGGATGCAACAAAGTATATCTGTGTAACATTCCACTTTCAGCGAAGTTCTGACATTAACTTGTCACTGTGTTATAATGTATTCCTTTAGTCTCAGGTGAGAACAAATGTACATTGCTACTTTGCTGCTTTTCACATTTTATCTTCTGTCTTTCTGGTAGCTGACCTTGCAGGTCAGACTGTTCATGCTCCAAGGAGTGCTCCTGAGAAACTCAGAGAGTTCATTATCAGTCCTAGTTCTAGTGCATCATCAATAACCACTCCACTGCAGAGGGGCACGTCTCCCTAAAAAGCAATGCCTGTTGTTGACCATGTCCCTAGTGTCTTAGCAGATATTACAGATGTTAAAAACTCGTATGCTGAGTCCCCATCCCCAAAGGGCTTACAGTTCAGTTGGAGAGACAGGGTAAGCTAGAGCAAAATACACTTCTGTAGGGAAATATGTGATTCAGAGCATAAGGACTGAAAGAGTTCCAAAGAGAGGAGACCATGGCTGACACGACTGAGGAGTTTTCAGGGAGGAGATGAAACCAGGTCTAGGCCTTGTTGAAACAGTTTCAACAGAAGGTAACATGGAAAAAGTGTTACAGACAGGGAACAGCACATTTCTGAAAACCTTGTGTGCCAGGCATATAGTAGATGCTGATATGAACATCTTAAGACCTTTTGGGAATGAGGAAGGGAAGAAACAATGAATGTAAGATTGAGGGACAAATGAATGGATTAAAAAGTGCATGAATGAAGTAATGACTGGAGCATGAAATGCCCAGAGCCCCGCAAATATATCTAGACCTGAGCAGACTCCTCGCCGAAGGATGCTGAGCTCCCTCCATACCCGGGTAGCCTTAGGAATATTGGGAGCCAGTGGATTCCACCTCCAGCCTCTAATTGGGGCCAGGACTTGCTTGCATCCAGTGGGCTTTTGCTGACACCTAGCCAGAAGCCTGAGCCTCCCTCTCACCTGCTCCAAGACACAGATGAGGTGGGGGACTGGTTCATTTAGACATTGTATGGTCTGTCTCCTGTTCCTGTTCTCCAGGGATAGCACCTGGATGTATCACACAGCTTAGCCTCTAAGCTTTTCCCTCTACCTGACCTTTCCTTGTGCTCCCTGAGGCCACCAGCCCATGCCTGATACACTCAGCTCTTCTCAGTAGTCTCCACCTCTTGGCTCTTTCCAGAGCCCCTTCTCCTGTGACAGGTTCATTCCCCTACAACTCTACTATTCTTTCCCTGGAGCTTCTTTCTGTCTCCTGCAAAGCTCCTCTGAACTTTGTCATCTCTACCCTTCATCATTGCTGTCCTGTACAGACTACGTGGTAGCACCCCCTCTCCCCCCATTTACTCTACCCCTGGCCCCCAGTCTTCGCAGCTCCTACCAATGCTGTGAATGACTTCAGCACCCTTCCAACACCCAGCCTCTCTCAGCTCCTTGACATCCTCATCTCTGGTGACCTACACGCCTACTCCACGTCATCCACCCACTCTTATGGTCTCATCCTGTTCCTTGTCATCACTGGCTTTGCCTCTGCATTGTAAAATTCAGACAACCCAGCCCCCCACGCCTCCAAGCCTCTTCTTTATTCCATGTCAAGTGCCAGGACCCATCACTGCAACTCCCTCTCTGCCAGGATCCCCCTCCCTCCTGCCTCAGCAACCTAGCAAAATCCCACTGTCCAACTTTGGATCTCTATCCACGGCACTGAGGATTGCTGGAGAAATCCCACAACTTAGGAGACAAGAACCACTAAGGATTCTTAGCTTCCATCAGCAACTGGACCCTGCGTGCTGCCCTAAAATCCTTCTACATTCTCCTGGTCCCAGTCTCCAGAGCAGATATAGCAAATGTTCACTAGTGCTGTGGACTGAATGTGTGTGTCTCCCCAAAATTCATGTGTTGAAACCTAACTCCCAGCGTGGTTGTGTTTGGAGGTGGGGGCCTTTGGGAGGTGATTAGATCATGAAGGCAGAGCCCTGAGGAATGGGATTAGTGCCTTTATAAAAGAGACTTAGAACTCCTTCACTCCCTTCAGCCATCTGAGGACACAGTGAAAAGACCATCTATGAACCAGGAAGAAGGCTCTCACTAGACACCAAGTCTGCCAGTGCCTTGATCATGGACTTCTCAGCCTCCATAACTGTGATAAGTAAAATTTCTGTTCACAGGCCACCTAGTCTATGGTATTCTGTTATAGCAGCCCCAACTAGTCTCTCAAACCTGCCACACTGTCGCCAACTCCCACACTCCCAGAGATGGCCTTTCCTCTTACTCCAAGGAGAAACTGGACACCTTCAGAAGGAATTGTCTTCCTGTCCTCCCATATACCCATAAACTCACCCAAGATTCTCCTTTCATCATAAGGAGGAGCCCCTCTTCCATACACAGCCAACCTCTCCCGCAAGGGTTGGCTGACCCCATCCCACCATCTTGGTGCTTCCTCCTACCAACTAACTGCTTGGTCGTCTCTCCACTGTTTGGGCTGCTTTCCAGCAGCCTTAATCTTGCCTGAGTGACTTCTCTTAATTAGATCCCTCCCCCAAACCAAAATCTCCCCAGGACAACTGCCCTCTCCCTCTCCTTGCTTTCATTCATAGACATTCCTGGTAGAGTTCCTTGTGCCCCCTGTCTCTACTTCCTCATTTCTCAGTCATTCAAGCTCGTGGAAGTCTGGCACTGTGTCTAACACTCCACAGAACTGCTCTCACTGAGATCACCAGTGACCTCCATGTTGCTAACTTCACAGGACTTACTAGTCTTTATCCTGTCCTCTGAACACACCCTTCCTTTGGTTTCTCTGACCTGCACACTTGGTTTTTGTGTCTCTTTGGCTGTTCTTTTCCAGTCTCCTTGAAGGCCCTTCTTGTTCACTAAATGCTGATGTCCCCTATGGTTCAATAATGAGCCTCTCCTCTTTGTACTCCATGTACAATCCCTGGGCAGTTTCATTACTGCTTTTTTGCTGGAGATTTCCAACCCTGTGCCTCCAGCCCAGATCTCTTCCCTGAGCCTCAGACCCATATCTCCAGCCACGCATTCAATGCTCACACTGGGATGTCTTTTTGGCACTTCACCCCCCAAATCCAAACCTGCTTCTCTTCCAATCTCCTCATCTCAGTAAATGGCACCACAGTTCTCCCTATTTCCCTGTCTGGGAATATTTTTTCCCCTATTTTTTCTCTCTCACTTCCAATATCCAATCAATCACAGAATCCTACTGACTCTGTCTCGCAAATGTCTCCCAAATAAATTCCTTTCTTTCCACCCTCATTTTTCCCATGGCCTTCAGCAGCACCTCCTGACTGCTCACTTTGGATCTTCTCTTGCTGCCCGTCAGTCTTCCAGAGAACTATTTCTAATATGCAAGTCTAATGATGTCATTCCTTTTTTAAAAAAAAAAAAAATTATTCAGCACTTCCAAATTCCTAAACATGACTTACTAGGCCTTTGTGATCTGTGCCATAGCATACCGTCTCCCTACTCTATCTTCTCCAGCCTCATCCCTCACAATTCCCCAATACTCTGTGCCCTGTATCCCTCTGCACCTGGACACATGCTGTTCTCTTGAACTGTCACACTTCTGTCTGCCTAGCCCCTGCAAGTTCTCCTGGATAACTCGGATTCCTCCTTCACTTCTCACTTAAGAATCAGTTCCTGCGGGAACTTTCCTCTCCTCCCTCCACCCTCCTCCTCAGCTATACATCTAGTAACCTAGACTGTCTGTTGTCATATCACTTACCACACTGTCTATTTGTTGAGACCAGAACAGGACAAATATGAGACCAGCTTAAATGTTAAACTAACTCTTTGGAAGATGTTTGTGATTAGCGGTACTTGATCTTGTTCATTAGTTACAAGCAGAGATTCACCATTTGAAATTCAGGGACTATAAATTGGATGTCAGATCCACATCCATGAGAGCAATGCTGTGCCCCCAAAGCCCAGAGCAGGAGCCGCACACACAAGGTGCACAGTACATATTTGTTGAATACATAAATGAATCGAATCTTGCTTGACATAACTCTAATACAGATTCTTAACAATTAGAGAACAGAATGGCATAAGCCTAGCCTTTATTGATTTCCACCATATATTTCTAAACTATAATTATTTTGGAATAATTTTTCAGATATGTTTAAAAGCTAAGAGATTTAGTTGTTTCACTTACCAAGCAGCTATTAATTCAACTCACCGCGGCTCGTGCCACTAATCCTGGTTTGTTTTCAGAAGCTAACATGAAGAGAATAGCTGGAGATGATCCATTGCCATCTCAAGATGACCTGAAGTCCACAATGCTCAGCAAAGCTGGAGTGAGTGAACTCCTTACTTCTACCTGCCAAGAAGCTCCATGTTGCTACTGTGTCCATTTTGTCCCAAGCAACAGGTTAGGGAGGAGTAACAGGTAAGAAATCTTTGGCTCTTCAGAGAAAACTGACATGGGTTCCAGCATCTGATTTTGCATCCAGCCAGTGAGTGTTGTTTCTGGAGTCAGAGCTGCTCTAGCAAGAGCTGAAGTGTAAGGTGCAATGAAATAGTGCACTAGCCTTGGCACATTGCTTGAGGAGCAGTGTGCACCATGCTGGGTTCCTGGAAGTTTTGGGAGGCTATGGGTATGGATTCTGTACAGTCTCAGGAGGAATCGAAACCCAGTTGCCATTGACCATGAGTTAATGAGAGAATTGGGGGACAGAGGAAAAGAGCTTATCCCAATCCTTTCTGAGGTGCCCAAACCTCTGTTGGGTGTAGTGGACAAAGGAGCAAGAAGTGGCAATTACTGAGCACATGGCCTAAAATTCCATCCTTGGTCCTATGACTGCACTTTACATGGACCTCTATCCATGGAATTTGAGGAGTTTCCACCTCAAGATGGGAGTGACTGGGTATGAGTGCAGTGGTGTTAGTGAGAGTTTGGGACCAGTGCTTTTCTTGACACTGAGGCTCTCTTGATACTCACTTGTTCAAAGTGACCAAGTCAGAGTGGGTTAACTTGGGGCTCCAGATTCCCCTGAACAGATGCCACAACAACCTACCCAGTGATTAGCCCACGTGCTGTGTCTTGCCGTGAGCAGAGTATAGTCACATTTGGATGTACAACAGCCTCGTGAGTAAGTTGGCATTGCCCACTCTGTGGTTCCTTTGGCAGCCTATCATAGCGCATGCTATTCACACACAGACTAGATATTTGTTCTTCTTTCCTCATCTCCCGCCAAGAAATAAACACAACTAGGACTTTAAGAAGTTACCTGGAGGGCACATAACTCCTTCATTGTCAGCTTCAGATTTCTAATCTGCAATGTAATTTTCTTCATGGCAGTTAGACTTGCATGGAGAATCTGATGCGAGTCATTTGAGGTAACACAGAGAACCCCATAAAACAAGATCAGCCCTCAACAGCACTCCTGGACAAGCAGCGCAGTGCTGGAGCATGCTTGAAGCCCACTCCAGCCGGAGGAGATGCACAATGAAATGAGGACATTGGGAAGTTAAAAACTTCTACAATTCAGCAAGTTAAATGCAAATGTTTAAAAAAGTTTCTTTTACTACAATCTTACATGTTCTAAATTTCTCTTCTTTTATGATTTTTTGGACAAATGTATTTATTTCTAAAGCCATTGAGTGAATACAATGTTTGAGAAAGAAAGAGTATGGTGAGTCAAGAAGAGGACTGAGGACCTTAACAAGCATGGCCCTTGGAAAGGAGAGAAGGCAGAGAGTAGGAAGGGGACAAGTAAGGGGAAAGGCAGCTCAGTAGAAGCGCGGAGGCAGAGACGACACTGATGTTTGGAGTCCCTCAAGCAGTGGATGTCGTGCCTCAGGGAAGCATCCCTGAACCCCCAGGACAGGCCACCTGCTGAACCCCAAGCCTGCCTCATCGCTGCTTCACTCAGCTAATGGCGCTCCACCTTCACCAGTTTATTTACTGGGATTCCATGTCCAATTTTATTTTAAATGTGGCATCGCTGCTTTAAAAAATAAAGTCAAGCAAAATACCTAGGAAGCTTGATTAAAATGCAGATTATTGGCCTCTGCCCCTAAAGAGTGAGGAGTTTGGAGTGAGGCCATGGGTAGCCTGCCTTTCTAGCCAGGAGGTACCTGACCACATCTTGCAAAACCTTTCTTGGATGGTGGCTTAAGACTCATTTACTCCAAATGAGGTTCTGAGTGTTTGAGCTCACATCCCCAGTAAATTAAGATTCTTTCTTTTGCTTCCATTTTGCTCTTTTTTTTTTTTTTTTTTTTTTTTTGCTGGGGAAGATTCACGCTGATCTAACATCTGTTGTCAATTTTCCTCTTTTTCTTTTTTTTTTAATGTGAGCCGCCACCAGAGCATGGGCACTGACAGATGAGTGGTGTGGTTCTGTGCCCAGGAACCGAATCCAGGCTGCCGAAGTGGTACACACTGAACTTTAACCACTACACCATTGGGGCTGGCCCCATTTTGCATTTTTTGAAGACAAATATTTTTTTAAAATTCCTCTATTATTAATATTTAATAACCTGTACATTTGTGAAGGAGACATTCAGGAGAAGGAAACAAGTTTTGCCTGTAGAAAAAAAGGAAGAGCAACAGAGATACATTTTCATGACGTTGAGCCTTCATCCTTCTTTTCCGAATCAGATTTTGGATTAATAGCTGTTGAATGTCCACAGTAATTCTTCTTTAGTAGTTTAAGATGGATCTTGGATACAAGTCCTGAAAATACTGCCAAGAAAATGAGGTAGGTAACAACAGGCCATGTACTATTTATAAAACTTGTGAAAAGGTTACACAGATATATTATTTTGGGCTCTGTGGGTAGCATCTTTGGTGTCACCTGACCGTTTTCTTGGAACCTCAAGTTGGGGGAGGAGGGGGTGGGGATGCCCACAGCTGCTCAGTTCATCCCCACATGCCTGCCAGTTCTCACCCCTGGAGCTCTGGCAACATTAACATTACCTGGGAGCCTTTAAGAAATGCCTAGACCTCACCCAGACCAAGAAAATCAGACAGGGAGGGCATCTGCACCTTTTAGAAGCTCCCCAGGTGACTCTGCCAAATGGCGAGGCTGAGACCCACAACTTTGGGGAAAGGAGAAATGATCTCTATTCTTATTCCTTGGCTATATGATAGATTTCTAAGATATATTAATTTATCTTTACGCAGGGTCTGTACGGTAAAAGGAAAAAACACTGAGGTAACAAAGAATGCAGCATCGACACGCAGAAGGGCCTTCTCACACATCAGAGGCAGACCTGTGTCTGTGGCCCTGGTCTCTGTTTGAGTCCCTCTTTTGTAGCCTCTCCAACACTTAGTTGGGGCCACCAAAGCTTCTTTAACCCGCAGTACACAGTAGTTCACAGCATCACTTGGAAAAGAATTTGGAACTTCAACCTGGAAGGCCATGGATTCACCTCGGACTCCTGCTCCTTCTCTCAGCCCAGACCCAGCTTTCTACAGCTCAGAAAACCTGAGCAGGACTCTCCCCTTCCCCACTCTCCCTGGACTGGCCAGAAACAGAAAGAGCCTGAAAGTGATAAATGTTGGGAAGGAGAAATGAATCAAGGCACAGGTGTGAGGAGCCAGTGAAGAGAGTCACGAAATATTTTCGAGAAAAGCTCCTTGTGGCAAATTCTGTTTTTCCTGGAGCTACCCAAGCCCAAGACACACTTCTGGAGCCAGCCAAGGAAGAGGCCCATGGAATTTTAAGTATCTTGAAAACAAAAGAAATGCAGGCAGAGGCGCCCTATGTATTTATGAGCAGACATGATTCAACGCAGTAATGATGCATTTGTTCTTTATGCCCAAAGACAAAATTACTGGTAAAACATCAAGGAAAACCCTTGGAAAAGGAAAAGCCTCATAATAACAAATATTAATAGCTACTCTAAAACTGGCCTTTACCAGGTTCTGGGCACTGTTCTATGTCTTTCATGCACATTATTTAATCTTCATAACAACCTACAAAGTAGATACTTTTATATCCCCAATTTGCAGAGGGGAAAACAGAGAGGCTGAGTAGCTCACTCCAGGTCAGACAGCGAGTTCGAGGTGGAGCTGGGATAGGAACCCAGATGGGGCCACTCTGCCTGACCCTTGACTCCATGCTGTCTTGTGAGGTTAAACACTCATAAAAGACAGACACCATGAGTTGTGGTTTTCCTTAAGAGCTAAAAATTTCTTCCTTGAAAATAAAGGCTAAAAAGCCCATCCACAAGAAAGTGTGTTCGGGGCAAGTGAGTATGGCATATCCCGGGGATTAACTTGACTTCTCTTCAATTTATATATTGAAAAGTAAGTCCTTTGCAGACTTGGGAACTCTATTGTTAGTAACAAATGACTTGCACCACCACTGACAGCCCATTGCAACCCCCCAGCGGGGTGCGACACCACCATTGTGGAAAACAGACCTAAGCCGAGAGGGATTTATTGTGACTGAGTCGGAAAAGGTAGCTGGAAGGTGCATAAAACTAGATGTCAGCAGTTCATGTCAGGTCTCTTAGATTAGTGCCTTTCTGGAAAAGTGGGCAAGAAAAGTAGCCAGCGGAGGAGCTAACACATCACAGTGTGGCAGTCGAGCCAGCAGAGATAAGCTTCAGGGCGTCCTGCTGCCTGCCAAAACTACAGGACAGAAGTCCCAGAAGCCACAGCATTTATTGCATAAGATGAAATCACTCCCAGCTGAGAATTCTCCCCTTTGAAACAGCAAATGACAAGCCCTGGGGAGGAGGAATGAGCCACTTCTTCCAGGACATTTGCAAGCTACCACTTGGCCATTTTGGTCCCTTGGCACTCCTGGTAAAGCAGGCGACTTTGGTAAGTCACTGAATGTTACTGTGAGAAGATGAAATATATGGTTCCCTAAGTCCCTTCTAACTCAAACCCCCTGTGGTGCTTTGATTAAAAGGAGCCTGGTGAGTCGTCTTGATTCACCGTGAGAAGGACCAGCTGAGACTGCTGGATTTTCACAGCATGCTTTCCTCCTGCCCTCGATCTCCCAACAATCCACCCCAAAGAGTTTTCTTTTTCATTTCAAATGAATAGATTCTGTAGAACCCTAATGTATCTTTGGTTTGCAGATTCTAAAATATGCGTTGCTTACATTCAGTCGATTTAGCATTATTTAGGTTATAAGCCTAAGACATCTCTATATATCCAAAAGTTATGTCCTCAGACTTCCCTTGATCTAATTATGTGCTCTTTGAGCCATTCGTTACAAGTAATAAGAATTCCACTTAAAATGCATTTTGTGATATTTCGTTAAAGAGAAGAAACTATATTGGAGAAGTTTGCTTTTAAATATCGACATATGCCTTTTGATTACGTTTCAGATTATCAAGATAAATTTAAAAGAGGCAGCCCCATTTAATGTAGTAATTATAGTGGTGCATCACTTAACGATGGGGATATGTCTTGAGAAATGCATCATTAGGTGATCTCGTCATTGTGCGAACAGCATAGAGCATACTTACACAAACCTAGCTGGTATAGCCTACTACACACCTAGGCTGTATGGTACTAATCTTATGAGACCAGTGTTATAGATGCGGTCCATCATTGACCAAAACGTCATTGTGCAGCACATGACTGTATCACAAGATCTGTGTCCATGACCAAAGCTCTGGGTGGTTTTGTTATTTAAGAAATGTGATGTAAAAACTTTCATTCAAGCCAGCCCTGATGGCCTAGTGGCTAAAGTTTAGTGTGCTCCACTTCGGCAGCCGAGGTTCAGTTCCTGGGTGTGGAACCACACCACTTGTCTGTCAGTAGCCATGCTGTGGTGATGGCTCACATAGAAGAACCACTAGAACTTACATCTATACACAACTACGTACTGGGGCTTTGGGGATGAGGAGGAAGAAAAAAGGAGGAAGATTGGCAACAGATGTTAGCATAGGGTGAATCTTCCCCTCCAAAAAAAAAGATCTTTAAAAAGAAATTTCATTCATATACCAGCATGCATTGAGTACTTACTATGTTGAGCAGTGTGCTTGATATTGACAATACAGTTGAATGAAACAAAATCCTGCCTTTAATTCTATTAAAGCAGGAGAAGATGAGTAAGTAAGTTGTAGCAGCTAACCTTTAGAGTGTCCTTCCATTTAAAAAAAAATCACTTAGCTCCTCCCCACCAGTCCTCTCCTCCGTCTTTCTCCCTTTTCCCCTCCTACACCCAGGAGCCTCTGGCTGTGTCATGTGACTTTCCCTGCATCCAGAGCCTACTGCTATACTATGTGACTTGATCGTTCACCCTAGATGAGAGGGTGTTGATCCATGCAGGGCCAAGCGTATCATCCCTCCCAAGAATTTGAGCCTATAACTAAGAGGTTTAACTTAGTTTGGGCAAGTGTGCTGCATGAAAGACTCAAAATAGAAAATGATGGAGCAGCCACCTTCTGCTTGTCAAGTAAGCTGAGAAGGAGAAATAATTAGTCTGCAGAAAGGGTGGAATGCAGCAGACACGGTGAGAAGCAGAGGTGGGAGAGAAAGAGAGAAGGAGAGAGAGAGAGATTGAGAGAGAGAAAATGGATGAGTGAATAAATCCTGGAGAATCCTGCTTCCCACCAGTTGTTGGTTGCAGACCCTTCCTGAGGTCTAGCCATGTTCCAGGACTCCTGGCTTGAGGCACGCTGCAGTTCTCTTTTGTGTTAAGCCTGCTCACATTGTTGTTGTGTTTTTTCAAAATGTTTACAACCAAGAGTTCTAACTAATAAATGAGTATAATTATTAGTAGTATGACAAGTGACATGGGCACAGGACAAATTTTTACTTATTTCTACACACAGAGTAAAAATGGCAATTATATTTAATGATAAATAGGCCAATGACAACTCATATTTGTTTTTAAATTCTTTCCACTATAAACATTCATCCGCAGCAAAATTTGCAAGACATTGGGTTTGGCAGCGGGGGTAACGATATATAGCAGTGGTGGGAAACCTTATTTTGATTAAAGACAAATTCATGAGAAAGCAAAAATACTTCCAGGCTATATTTCTCTTTCCTTCAAAATGGCTTTATTATTGATCCTATGGGGAAAATTATATTCTTATTGCTCAGGTGATGTATTTATTGAAGAGGAGAATGTCAGTGAGAAACTGTGTTTACTTTTCAGCCTCTGCAATATTATAATATGGTCCAATTTGAGAATTAGTAACACCAGACAGCTTTTTGTAATTGTCCATCTCTGATGTTTGCACAGCACCTTCACTTTCACCACCTGAGTTCATCTGCATTAGCCCCATTTATCCTCCCATCCCCTCAAAAAGATCTAGCCCAAGAAGTATTATTATCCCCATTTAACATATGGAGAAACTGAGGCTCTGTGGAGGTTTCAAAGCGTATCTGTAAATCCTTTGACACTCTTCCCACCAGGAAGCAGAATCTATATCCTCTCCCCTGGAACATGGGCAGAACTTTCACTGCCTCCAAGAAAACAATGTGCTGGACTGTGAGGCTGGGTGACAAATGGCAATTGAATTGCACTTGCCTGTCTCCTGGGACAAGCACCATTGGAGACTGGGCCTTCGTGCAAGAAGCCCAGCTGCCCTGAAGCACCATACTGAAGAGTCCACATGTAGGGACCACACTATGTAGGGAGAGGTGCCTGACGAGCCCCAGATGTTCCAGCCTCCAGCTGTTTGGGACTCCCCAGACCAGGCACCCATTATATGAATAAAAAGCCCTTCTAGCCCAGTGACTGTGTGACTGTACTTGCAGAGGGACCAAAAACTGCTAGCTGGGCCCCTGTCAACCCCCAAACAATGAAAGATAATAAACGCTCATTTTTGTTTTATGCCACGAAGTTTGGAGTGGTTTGTCGTACAGCAGACTCCAAGGGAAGTAACTCACCAAGATCGCTCAGGAACTTCCCAGGGAGCTGGGGCTTGAATCACTTCATTCCATTCTGTGCACTATTAACCTGACAGCTGTGGGCCCTGGGGACCAGAGAAGAATAAGGTACAGCCCAAGCCCTCCACATTCTGGGCCTCCCCCTTCCATGTCATCCTCACGGCAGCAGCTCCTTGCTGGAGGTGGGTGGGGTGGTTTCTAGAAGGAATTACCTCCAGGGCACTCTGGCTATTCCTCTGCACCATGATGTGTGTAGGTGGCTTCTAGCCCTGAGAGGTTCCAAGCCTGCTGCCAGCCTTGGCTTTCCCTCCAGTCCTTCTCTGATGAGTTGGTTGGCTGTGTTTGCAGTTGAAGTCAGACAGTGTTACAAAGGTAGGTGGGCGCCATACAACCTGCCTGCAGAGTGTTGCTTAGCTCTGATGAATTACACCCAGTCCCTGGTCTCACATTTGGCTGGATCTACAGGAAAAATATGTGCGTTCTGGGCCCCAGCTGATCTTTTCATCTAGCTTCTGTTCTAAGGTAAACATTCTGTTAAAATTGTAAATTTTCATCTGCTTCTTCCAGATAAATTGGTAAAAAGGCATAAAATATATGAAAGTCATTTTTACTTGTAATGAACTCAAGGCTGGTGGGCGGCCAGCACTCACCAGTGTCCTGGGATTGTCCTGTATTGCAAGGGGAAAGGGACATTGACATAGAAAACTGTGGGAATCGTGCTCCCAGGGGCACAGCAGGGCTGGGGAATTGTGCACCAGGCGAAAATAAGTAATCTTTTTCATTTCTGGGGTATATGTGATGTATTTTTGTTTGACATCCATATGTTCATGAATTAAATCAACAAATATTTACCAAGTATTGATTTTATTAAATTTGTCTTTTTAAAAATGAGAACCAGCTTGTTTTTGCCTGCTGTAAAAATCAAAGCCCACTTAAAAGATTCATTACCAAATTTATCTTTCTGCTTCTAGGCTTCCTTTAATCAAGGTATTCCTGTACAGTAAAGAAGGAGGAGTCGGGGGGATGGAGAGGAGGAGGAGGGTTCAAGGTTGTGATAAGGCATGAATAATACATTTAGAATATTAAGCACAGTGCCTGGCCCATGACAGGTGCTCAGTAAGTAAATGGTAATTACAGAGCATCCCTGTTCTTGCCTTATCATTCCAAGGCTTCTCCGCCAGGTGGATACAAATGAGGTCAAGTTAACAGGACCATTTACACTTTGCTGGCTGGTTGGCCTGACTCACATCTGCAGGAGCTTCACGCCTCCTCCCTTTGTAAGTTCTATGCCAGTATTTCTGGGACTCTCTGGAGGATGTCTCTCAAGTGTGCAAGAACTAGCCCACTGCCCTGCAGGCCTGCCTGTGCCCCACCTGTCACCAGGATGCCCTGTCTTCAGCTGTCATGGCCTAGAAAGCTACTTTGCTGGGGAGTATAGTGTCTTTGCCACCCACTGCTCTGATGTCCTGAGAACAAAGCTGTCCTGTGGCCTGTGACAATGAAGCGTGGGCGGGAATGAGCAGCTCGGTGTTACCAGGTGTGGGAGGAATGCCAAGCAGGTGCTTGCGAGCTCCTGTGTTAGAATTCACAGACAAAATGACTATTTAAAAAAACAGATCTTCTTTCCTCTCCCTAGGAAACAGACAAGCTCCTGCATCTCAGGGGCTGGGCCGGGACAGGGGTGAGTAACTGCCTTCACACTGAACTCGGAGTCTCCTCTATCTTCAGCCGTGAAGGCTTTGTTATCCGGGCCAGCTTGTTGCCCCCTAACCTCTTCTCTTGGGAGGTCTTCTTTCCTGGGGGTCTCTTCAGCTCCCTGGAAAGAGCCAGCCCCGCCGTGGGCCAGCCTGTGTCCTCCTCTAGGAGGCTCTTCTGCTGTGCCAACAGGCTGCCATTGGTGTCTTAGGCTCAGGGGCCCGCACTTCAGGGCTGTTCTATGGGAGACCCCTCATGCATCTCCCTCCTCCTCAAAGGACTGGCCACTGTGGCTGCCACAGCTTTTCCCCAGCTCCTGCTGAGATTAGGCTCTTTCTGCCCCAAAGTGACAATTCTATCAAATGACCTTGGGTAGTCTGGCCTCTCCAGGGAATGGAAAGAAACCAGTATGTAGTGAGCACCTACCAAGTGCCAGGCATTGTGTCCAGCCCCTTTCTCTCCCAGCTGTGTTAGGGTTCCCCTTTTATAGAGAGAGTGATGGCAGCCT